TTTTGTTGTTTTTTGGTGGTTTCTGGTGTTTTCCTGTGCGTTTTCTGTGCCCGTGCCCCCTCCTGCGGGGGTGGCAGTGGTGAATCAGAGCAGTGTGATGTGTGCTGGGGGTGGGCACGGGGGTGGCACAGCTCCCACTGAGGGGGAGCCAGGCTTGGCTCTCACTGAGGGGCACCCCGGGCACCTCCTGGCAGTGCCCAGGGGCTGTGCCACTCGTGGGATCCAGAATAGGGGTCTGTGCCCTCCTCCCTGTGGGCTTGGCCCCATCCAGGGATCCCCAGGGGTTCCTGATGCCCCAGGGTGCCCAGGCTGGCACAGAACCATGGTTGGCACCAGGGGTGCTGGAACAGGGGAAGGTGAATTCCTGCAGCCAGGAATGGTTTGGCCCTGTGCCCAGGGCAGGGGTGTGTGTGTGATGTTGGCACCAGGGGCTGTTCCTCACATGTCAGAGATCTGGGTCTGCTGAGGGGCACCTGGACACTGGGGATGAATTTGGGGGCATTTGGTGGCATTTAGTCTCTGGCAGAGTGATGTTTGTGCTGGGGGAGTGGCACCCTTCATTGCCTGGTGTGTTGAGCTGGCCTCAAGCCACCCCAAACCCTGGTGGTGTCCTGGGGGCTGCTGCAGCCCCTGGGGATGGATTGGGGTGCTGATGGGTTTGGAGTGCTGATGGGTTTGGGATGCTGATGCTGTGCTGATGGGTTTGGGATGCTGATGGGTTTGGGGTGCTGATGGGTTTGGGGTGCTGATGGGTTTGGGGTGCTGATGGGTTTGGGATGCTGATGCTGCTCCAGGCTGTGCCAGGGGAGCTCAGCCCCACCAGCCAAGGCTGCTGCAGTCTCCCCATGCCCTGGTTCCTTCTCCTCGTGGGAGAAGCTGCTGCTGAGGGAAGTGTCACCTCCTTGGAGGCAGCAGTCACATCTTGCTCTTCTGGAGGCTGGTGCTGTGAAGCTGCTGGAGCAGCTGCCAGCCAGGAGTCTGGTGCTCTGTCATCATCTCCATTCATGTTTAATGCTGCAGGAAGCAGGGCTGGCTCCTCTCTGCCTCTGCACCACCTGTGGAGTGACCACAGCCTGTCACCACCTGCCAGGGAGAGGGGACACGTGGTGACAGCGACAGGGCTGTCCTGCTGGGACCCCGGGGTTTATGTAATGTGTGCCAGAGTCAGAGCAGCTCTGGGGCTGCCCTGGCCCTGCTTTTGGCTGAGGGGACAGCCCTGGGCTGTGCTGCCACCCTGCTGGATGGATCAGAGAGCCCAGAGCAGGAGCACAGACATCTCACCTGTTCCATCTCACCTGTCCCACTCAGCTGTTCCATCCTCACCTGTCCCATTCACCTGTTCCATTCTCACCTGCTCCACTCAGCTGTTCCCCTGTGTAAAGCAGAAATGAGCCCTGGGGTCCATCAGGGGCTGCACACAGCAATGGGTGGGGAGCAGAGGCTTTGGAGCAGGGCTGGAGGGGCTGGGATGCTCACAGGTTATAGCTGGAGGCTGCTCCTGAGCTGCACCGTCCCCTCATGGCATGCACAGGGCTGGTCCAGGCTGCTCTGCACGTCCCACGCCACCTGGCCCTGTCTCCTGCTGCTTTTGGAGCGTTTTCCCAATGAGTGTTGCAGCTCTGGTCTGCAGCCCAGCCTCACTGAGCAGCTCTGAGCCAGCTCCAAGGGCTGCAGGAGCTGTCCCAGCTGCCAGGGCAGAGCAATGCTGGGGTTGGAGTTATTGCTGCTGAGTGCCACATTAAACCAGGCTTTTATTCCTTGGGAATCAGCCCTGAGCTGCTGTTCCACACCAGGAGTGAGGGCTCAGAGCCTCACGTGCCTCATCTTCCTCACTGAGTGTCTGAGATGGGGCTTGACCCTGCTGAAAACCAGAACAAGCCAACCCCACTCACTTCACAGCTCTGATGAAGAGGAATGAGGACAATATTAAGATTAAACAATGGCCAAGGAAGCTCAAGTGCTGTAATTTCATTAAGGGCTGGTTGTGATCAGACCATGAAATCAAGGTCATGATGGGTTTGGGACCTGGATTGAATCAGCAGCTCAGCAATGAAGTTATGTTGGTTCAAAGTATTTATCAAATCATATTAGCACTGTGAGCAATTGGATTTCTGCGTGGGGCTGAGACAAAACTGGCTGTAATTCAGCTTAAACAGCAGAGCTGGGGCTGGCTGTTTGTCCTGAAAGGCTCTGCCTGGCCCGGGTGGCACTGGGTGACCCTGGGTGGGCACTGGGGCCGAGCTCAGCCCCTGCCTTCACCCAGCCCTGGTCCAAATGGCAGTATTTTAAACATTGAACACCACTGTGCCAAATAACCTGTGGGGTTTTATCAACTTTTTGTCATTGAAACCTCATTTGGGTATTCCCATCAGGAGAAATAATTTTAGGTGTAGGTCAGGCAGCTGGGAATGGCAGAGTCTGCACAAACCAGGTTATGAGGTTGGTGTGAAAGTCAAATGGGGAAGGACTCCGAGCCCAGCAGCTCCAGGGGACTCTGACCAGGTTTGGCTGGGATTGAGGCTGAGGGAGAANGGGGGGAAAAATCCCTTTGGTGCCTGAAGTGTCAGGGTTGGCACCCGACCTTTGGGGAGCATCCTGCTCCCTGCCTGCAGCACCTTTCCTTTTTCCTTTCCTTTTTCCTTTTTCCTTTTTTTCCTTTCCCTTCCCCCAGCTCAGGTGAGCTCCTGGCCGTTCCCAGGAGGGTTTTGAGCCCTCCCCCTGTTCCCAGGTGCCCGGACACAGCGTCCTGCCAGCTGGGCACTGCTTTGAGCTGGGGTTTAATGGCTCACCCAGCGTGACGGGGCAGTGCCCGTCCAGCTCCACTGCCCAGGGCCCTCTGAGCCCCGGGGAGAGGGCACAGGGCACCTTCCACACGGACAGCAGGGGCACAGGGCACCCTCTTTCCCTAAATTCCAGGGGCACAGGGCACCTTGCACACAGGCAGCAGATGCCCAGCCATTCTAGGGGCTCAGGGCACCTTCTTTCCAGAAATTCCAGCGGCACAGAAATTAGAAATTCCAGGGACACAGAAATTCCAGGTGAACAGGGCACCCTCCCCACAGGCAGCAGCTTTCCAGACATTCCTGGGGCACAGAAATTCCAGGGGCACAGAAATTCCAGGTGAACAGGGCACCCTCCCCACAGGCAGCAGCTTTCCCCAAATCCCAGTGCATCCCAGCAGAATGGGGTTCATAATCTGCTTTTCCCTGCTGGTTCCCTCCTGGCAGCACAGTCAGGTCTGACAGGGGAAGAGCTCTGCTGACCCTTGGGACTCTGTTGGACTGTGGTTTTTATTGATTCTCCTGATGTTTAACCACCCGGGGGAGGTGGAGCTGTTTGTGCTGCCCTGTCCCACCACTCTGGGATGAGCACTGGGATCACTGCCTCTGTGCCTTTCCCACATCCCCGCTGTGCAGCCAGGGATCTTCCTGTAATTTTTAACTTGGCCTGGCTCAGCTGGCCTCCTCACCTGGAGGAAGGGCAGAGCGCAGGGGGCAGAGCAGAGGCAGCGCTGGAAGCTGGAGCTGGGGCTGTACAGCGCGTTCTGTGATTAGAGGAAACCCCCTGCTTATCTGATTAGAGTCGAGTGTGGAGCTGGAATGTCAACAAACAAGGCTGAGCTGTAATGAAAGTCTGTGATATTCAATTATTCTGCAGTGAGTTCTCCCAGCAGCCCGATGCTTGCGCTGCAATGGAAACCACCACAGTCCTGCGTGCACCTTTTTAAATCCTGAATTACCCTGTAATCTCACTGCTGCAGCTCCCCGTGCTGCCTTTCCTCTGTTTGTTGTGTGCTCCCTCCCCGTGGGGTTGGGCCCTTGGAGGTAATTTAGCCTATTTTAGTGTCCAGAGCCTCCTCAGTGCCCCAGAAGTTCCAACAGCCTTTTAGGAGAGCATAACCTCATTTTTTTGTGCTTTTTAGGCATGACATATGCAGCCAAGGGGTACTTTGATGCTCTGGTGAAGATGGGGGAGCTGGCCAGTGAAAGCCAAGGATCCAAAGAGTTGGGTAAGTCCCCGTTTGCTGCTGAATGGAGATTTCTGGAGATTCCCAGGGGTGAAGCAGATCTTTGGTGCTGCTGGGGAGCAGAGCTCGGCGTGGAGCTGCTCCTGCCGTGCCTCAGTGTCTCTGGATTTACTGATAATGCAGCCTGGAAAGCCCCTGGTACCCTGAGTGTCAGGGCTGTGGCTCAGGGCGGTTTTGTGGTGGTTTGTTCTCCTTTGGAGAAGGGGAAGCAGCGGATTTTGGCCGGGGAGCTGGGGCTGAGCTGCCCCTCTGGAGGGGCAGGGGAGAGGAAAAGGGGCACCTGGGGGTCCCCAGTGCTGTGGGGCTGGGACTGTGCCCTGCCTGCAGCAGCTCTGCCCTGCTGGAGCCTCCCTGTGCCCGCTGCCAGGGTTTGTGTCTGCCCAGCCCATGGCAAACACCACGAGCTGTGACTGCTGCTGCCTCCTTCCCCTTTCTTCCCCTTTCATTGCTCAGGAAATCCTTTAAAGGGCAGCTGCTTTTCCAGCCTCCCTATTGCCCAGGCATCCTCCTGTGTCCTCCCTCCTTACTGCCCTGGTTTGGGGGGACCCTCCAAGGGTCTGGGGGGACCCTCCAAGGTCCTCCCCATGCTTTGAGGGGACCCTCCAAGGTCCCCTCATGGTCTAAGGTGACCCTCCCAGCTCCCCCCATGGTTTGGGGTGACCCTCCCAGCTCTCCCCATGGTTTGAGGGGACCCTCCAAGGTCTCCCCATGGTTTTGGGGTGACTCTCCCAGGTCTCCCCATGGTCTAAGTTGACCTTCCCTTCTCAGCCCATGGTTTGAAGCGACCCTCCAAGGTCCCCCCACAGTTTGAGGGGACCCTCCCAGCTCCCCCCATAGCTTGGGATGACTCTCCCAGCTCCCCTCATGCTTTGAGGTGGCTCTCCTTGCTCCCCCTATGGTTTGGGGTGATTCTCCAAGGTCCCCCCATGCTCTGAGGTGACTGTCCCAGCTCCCCCAGGGATGCTGCACCTTGTTAAGGCTCTCATGGAGTGAGCTGGGCCTTGGTCTGGTGTGTGTGCAGTCCCAGGTGAGCCCCTCCTCCTCCTCCTCCTCCTCCCCCTCTGCCTCCCGCAGCTCTGGCCAAGCGCTCATTAAAGCCTCTCTCCGGGGCAGGCAATTAGCAGAGCAGGAGCTGGAAGGGCTCTGAAGGCTGCAGGAGCCCCTGGGCTCGGCTTTGGTGTCAGAGCTGCTCCCCCAGCCCCGCTGCTGCTGCCTGGGAACTGTGCTGGGGAAGCCGAGGGTGTCTATGGAAACCGAGGCTGGATTAGAGCTGCCTGCAGCAATCTGCTGCTGTTTAATAAATAAAACAAAGAGCCCTGTGTGCTGCAGAGCCTGGAGGAGCTGCCCCTGCTGCTCTCTGGGGCCGGGCACAGCCAGCTCTGCCCTCCTGTCCTGCCAGGGAGCTTGGGGCAGGAGCCTGGGCAGCCCCATCCTGGCTTTGGCCACCTCTGGCCGTGTTTCTTCACCCAAGGACAAGGGTTTGGTGTTCTGCTCACCCTTCACACCTGGCTTTGGGCACTCCTGGCCTTTTTTCCTCACCCAGAATGGGGTTTGGTGTCCTTGGTGCCCTCTCCCCACGTGTGTGGCTGGAGCATTTTGGGCTGTGAGGTGTTCCCACATCTCGCTGCTCCTTCCCCTGCTGGCGTGGGCACATCCCAGGGAGGCTCCTGGCTGTTCCTCAGCCTGTGCTGATGCTGCTGATGTTTGCTGAGATGTGGCAGCTGCCCCGGGCAGGAGAGAGCCCAGATAACATTGGTGGCTGCAGCTTGGTGGAGCTGAGAGCAGCTGGGACACAGCTCCCTCCCAGCAGGGCTGGGGCTGCTCTGGGCCAGGGTGCTCCAAGCCCCATCCAGCCTGGCCTTGGGCACTGCCAGGGGTGGAGGATTCATTTTAGAGCAATAAACAGGAATTCTCTTCATTGCTGCTTCCATTCCAAAATAGGAATTCTCTTAATTGTTCCGTCGAATGAAAGGGACCTTAAAGTCCCTCCAGTGCCACCTCTGCCATGGCAGGGACACCTCCACTGTCCCAAAGTGCTCCAGCCTGGCCTGGGACACTGCCAGGGATCCAGGGGATTAATTTTAGAGCAATAAATAGGAATTCTCTCCATTGCTGTTTCCATTAATGGTGTGTCCCCAGCTCCCTCCCTGAGTGGGATTTTCTTCCATGAGTTTTTAGGGAAAGCTGCTTCAAGAAGGGAAGGTGTAGGTTGGATATTAGGAAGAAATTTGTCGCCAAAGGAATAATGAAGCACTGGAATGCTCCTCCCAGGGAGGTGGTGGAATCACCATCTCTGGATGTGTTTAAATAAACACTGGACATGGCACTGGATGCTGTGGTCTGGGTGAGGTGTTAGGGCATGGGTTGGACTTGATCTTAGAGGTCTCTCCCAGCCTCATTATTCTGTGATTGATTCTGTGATTCTGTGCCACACTCTGACTCCCAGGAGAGCGCTGCATTTTGACCTGAGGCCGTGGAAAAGGCTCCCAAAATTGATTGATAGCACTGACATTACAGCTGTGCAGCTGATTAGAAGTGTGTAATGTCACTTTTCTGCCAAAATCCAGCAGGCAGAAAGGCAGGGATGGGGCTGGAGGGAGAAGTGGGGGGCTGAGATTGGGATGGCCCAAAGAGCAGATGTTGGAGCTCTGGATGTGAGGATTTTAGATTTCTGTGCTCACACATGTGTTTAAAAAAAGCCTGGCCATGGCACTGGGTGCTGTAATCCAGCTGAGGTGTCAGGGCACAGGTTGGACTCGGTGATCTCAGAGGTCTCTTTGAACCTCATTATTCTGTGGTTGTGTGAAGGTGTCAGCCAGGACTGGGATGCTCTGTCGGGACTGCAGCTCATGTTCCTGCATGGGGAAAAGCTGAGGTGATTGTTTTCCCCTCTGTGCTGAGCTGTGTGCTTGTCCCTGCTGTCCCTTTTGCCCCAGGACGTGTCCCAGGGCAGGGGACACCTGCAGGTTCCTCTCCTGGGACACAGAGCCCTCTGGAGCTCAGCTCCTGCCCAGCACGGGGCATTTCCTGAATTCCCCATGGGATTTTGGGAGCTGTGTGCAGACAGGATAATCCCGTGTGGGAAAGGAAGGGTGGCAGCAGGAACAGCAGTAATGCCCTGCAGCTCTAATCGGCTCTGGGGGCTCAGTTCCAGGTGCAGTGTCTGCTGGGGCTGCCTGGGCTTTGGGGTGGGTAGAGCTGGGGCTTTGGGGTGGGTAGAGCTGGGGCTTTGGGGTGGGCAGAGCTGGGTTTTGGGGTGTCCCCAGCCCCAAAGGAGCTGTCATTGTCCCGGGGCAGCAGAAGTCACTCTGCCCTGTGCAGGTCCCTGGTGTTTGGGATGGGCTCTGTGACCTTGAGAGGCTCCCTGGGCTGTTCTTCAGCCCTTGGTGGTTGTGGTTTTAGGGAAAATAATTGGGGAATAATTTTATAAATAATAAATAATTTGGGGAAAATAATTTTGGGGAAGATGATCTGAAATGAGGAGCCTGTGTCTGCCCAGGGAAGGTTTGCAGCCCCTTCCAACAGCTCCAGCTCCTGCTCGAGTCCTCAGGTGACTTTGGCCCTTGCCCAGCTCCTCCTGGCTCCCTTGGATGCTGCCCAAAATGTCATTTCTTTCGTCCTTCTCCAAAACTGGGCCGTGGCAAAGTCATGGGGAGGGGTTTTGTTGTGCTGCAGAGCAGAGCTGGAGCGTGTCCCCTGGGATGTGGGGCTGAGCAGCTCCTGCAGGGCTGGGGGTGCATTTTGGAGGTGCATTTGGTGCATTTTGGGAGGCGCGTTTTGCTCAGCACCGCTGTCTGGAGGTGCCTGGGGAGGGTAAAGCTGCCCTGGGTGACACCCAGGCTGTGAAAGGGCAGCAATTACCGAGCCATTGTGCAGCTGAAAGGAGCCCCTGGCACATCGTGGCTTTTTATTGCCACGCTAAAATCGGGATGTGGCACCTGAATGGCTTGGGAGAGATTTCACAGCTCATCCAGGCCCACCCCTGCCCTGGCAGGGACACCTTCCACTGTCCTGGGTGCTCCAAGCCCTGTCTGGGACATTGCCATGCATCCAGGGCCATCCCTGGCTCCAGGCTCTGGCACTTCAGGGGCTTTGTGCTGCACAAGATCCTTTAGGAGCAGGGATTAACCTAGTAATTTGGTTTGGGGATGGTTTGGGCAGGTGCTCCCTGCCCTGGCAGAGTGTGGATGGGGTGGGGATGGATCCCACAGGTGTGGAGATGGATCCCACAGGTGCCCAAGGTCCCCGTACAAGGGGCTCAGGGACTGCTGGGGTTTGGTGCCCACTGGGAGCCNCTGGCACTGCAGACTGGGGCTGGGGGCTCTGCAGGCTGGCACTGGGGCTGGCACTCCCCAGCTCCCATCAGCAGTGCCAGGCTGCTGCTCTGGGCTCTGTCCCTGTGCTGTTCCAGGCTAATAATACCCGGGAGGAGGCGGCTGCTGCCGTCCTGAGCCCGCTGCTGCAGGAGCCTTCCCCAGCGCCTCCTCCTCCTCCTCCTCCTCCTCTGTGTGCCCAGGCTGCTGCTGCCTCCTCCTGTGCCTCTGTGCTGGCGCTGCCTGGCATTCCCAGTGCCATGCCCCGTGCCTCTGCTTTGGGATGATGCCCAACCCTCCATCTCTTCCCCCTGTGTGTGCCCAGTGTGTGCTCAGCTCCCTTTGCTCATTCCTCCTCATGGCCACGGGCGTTTGCCCTGGATTTTCTCATTTTGGAGGGAAAAATTCTCTTTGAAATGGGGTTGCTGGTTGCAAAACTGGTTTTTAATCCATTTCTCACTGGTGCTCTTTCCCTCACCCGGGTTGGTGCAATGTGGGGAGACCCAAAAGCTGCTGGCCCTGGCACGAGCCCTGCCCTGGGTTTTGCTCTCAGGGGTGCTCAGAGCAGGCTGGGAGCCACGAGCAGGTCCAGCCCCAAAATAATCCCCCTTTGAAGTCTGCCATGTCACCGAATCTTGCTGCTTTTGTTGGTTTGCTCCATTTTATGCATCCCTTAATAAATATTGTAGCACGCTAAAAATAACTGATACCCGTGAAGAGGCAGCAGAGCTGCTCTGGGCCCTGAATTTCCAGTTTAATTCCCAGCTCAGAGAAGCTTGGGCTGCCTGCAGCAGGTCCAGCCCTGCCTGGGCTGTGGGAGTTGTGGCTTTCAGGTGTTGTGGTGCCGCTGTCCCAGGGCAGAGGTGGTGGCAGGGAGGTGGGACAGTGATGGGACAGTGTGGGACAGTGATGGGCACAAGGTGCTGCTCCCCTGGCAGGTGGCAGCTGGGAGCATCCAAAGGGATGGAGGGAGGGCAAAGTGGCCAGGTCAGGGAGCTGGGGGCACCTCTGTGTCCAGTGAGGCTGGTGCTGTCCCTGGAGTGCCCTGTGCCACCTTTCCATCACACAGGGCAAGGCAGCTGGGGCTTCCCCTGTGTGCTGCTGCCGTGCCAGGTGTGGTGCTGGCA